GAATTAAATTTTAGTAAAAAAAAAATAAACTTTAAATAGATCCAGAGACATCGTTGGTCATCGATAGTCTAAAAAATATGAAACAGTGGTCTTACACGCAATTTTTCTTCGAGCTTCTCGTTTTCGGCGCGAAGGCACCGCACTTCTGCTTCCAAACGGCGTACATCGCTGTAGGAGGAAGTGCCGTTGCGAGCGACATTCGCTTGCGATTTCACCGATTGCCACTCGAGTTTCCGTATCGTGCTCTCAGCTTCGACTAAGCGCTTTCTGAGGGCCGACAGTTCACGCTTGTGATTCTCGGGATCCGATTTGAAAGGTGGCGACGGCGACGGCGAAGGGGACGGCAGCGGCGACACAAATTGAGCGAGTCTAAAAAAATATTTTTTAAACGTTTATAATCGCGTTAATCAAACAATCTTCCGGTATCTGAATCCCGAAAGTTACAAGCTGCTTGTTCCACTACCGAAACACGAATCTGCAGACGCAAAAGCAGGGGATAATTATTTTACGAGAAACGAAAAAACTGGAAACTTGAGATGTAAAGTTTCAAATTCAATATAGACGAGACACGATTCTCGGAAATTCTGTTTACCTGGTCTTCAGCTCGGCTATGATCGGTTGGTACTTGGCGGCCTCGGCAAATTTCGCTTCCCTGAGGGCAGTTTCGAATTCCCTTCTGGCGATCTTCGTCGCTCTCCGCTCCTCGTGCAGTTCCGTTCGCACGTTCGCCAGATCCTCGCGCAGTCTTCGCGCTCCCTCCTCGAGCCATTGTATCGTCTTCCTCAATCTGTTCGCATCGTTCCGTCCTGTACTCGGTTCGCAAGCCCGCGGCACTCTTGCGTCCTGCGGGTTTGTCACCGCAGTCTGATCCTGCTTCTTTCTCAGACGCGGTAACGACGAGTCCTTCCTATCCTCCGAATGCTCGGCCTTCTTCTCGCCGAACGCCTCGCTGAAAATAAAACACAACCAGTGAGTTATATATACGATAACACGTGTGCGTTGATTTGGATTTAAGTACAACGTATTGTCCGTCGGTGTTTGTCAATAAATCATAAAATGACAATTCTCTCTTCTTGCATAATCGAAACTTTCCTTTTCGCTTCGCTAAAATATGCGATAAAGATCTTTTTTTAGCCGTGCCGTTGTCGACTTTTCAACACGCCAACAATAGTGTGCAAGGAGCGCTTATTATAGTGCGCCTATTAGAGAAATCTTGCTTAATCACTATAAATATCCTTACACATCGGAGTTGCACGGTCCGTCGCGTCGCTGCGTTTTCTTAGGGATCTCCGAGTTCGTCGTCAGGGATTCTAATCGTCGTCGTTTTCTCGCACCCTCCGCGGGCGCGAGAAGGTTGATTCCATTCGTCGTTGATTTATTCGTATTCGTCGGCTTAACGGTGTCTCCCTCTGAGGAGCTTGCCATCGTCGCTGGAAATGCAAGTATTTATAAACTTGTTCAAGTATTTATATATATACCGGATCTTACAAGGGCGCGTGGCAAGACACAAAGGGTATACATTTGCATGGCACTCTAAAAATTGTTCTAATTACATTGAAATATATTCAATTATTTTGTGTCGATATTCTTTCAGTTTATAATATACGCGATTAAATATATTTTTTTTTTGGTATCAGATTCTTTTGAGCAGTTTTGAGCGTCTGAGAGACCATGCGTGTTGAAAAAAGTTCTTTTTTAGTGTAATCATGATGCAAAATGGGTAATGTATTTAAGAGCGCAAAAAACTAACGAATGAGAATGATGCTGACTTACCGTTTTCGTAAGGACGTAGGGATATCTTAGCCGACCTATCGGACTCGCGAAGTGTATTATTGGATCCGGGACGGTACGGCGGCGGATCCTCCTCGCGAGAGACACCGTCGCCAACTAAGAGAAGCCGGGGCCCTAAACTGTATTATAGCTTGTGGCTGCTATACGTGCCAAACGCGTCATCTCATTTCTTTGGCTCTATTTAGCTCTCGTCTCTTGTCTCCTCACCGCGTATACGTCGCCCACCCACGCTAAGTTTGACCAACTATTCGCGTCGCGCTTTTATTCCGCACAGGCTTTATCGTCGTCATTCTCGACAACGTGCTCGTACATTTCAGTCTCTATCAGATAGGAACGCTTTCACTTTTTAAGCTAATCTCGAGAGGCACAGATGAACATCCATTGCTCTACTGCACACGGGTTTTCGAGTAAGAATTTTACCGACATCATTTTTAATCAAGGTCTCAGCAAATATTGTCAGGTCATAATGTAAAAATTATGAAAAATTTATGAGAAATGATGTATATTTTTTTAAGGCGCGAATAAATCTGGTTTACGCAGATAAAAACCTGAAAAATATAAGCACAATGTTTTAGGATAAATTTCACGTGTGAAATTCTTGATAATAAATAGCTACATAAAAATAGATGCAATATAAATTTAACTATTTTACAGATAATTAAGATTCTCTTTACAATATATCTTTCTTTTTCCTAAATCAATTAATCTGGCATAAATAGCTTAGCGCTGCAAAGTAAAATATGATGACGCAAAGTAGTGTATCTTCGTTAGGATCTAAATTATTTTGATTGGAATTGTCTATCAAGCAGATGCTCGCAGGCCCCTTAACACGTGGACCTATATCTGATGCTGCTGATAAGGGATAAGGAAGGGATGCGGATCGGTCGTTAGCGAGAAAAGCTCCGAGAGTCGTGTGGGGCGCGGCGTGAGTACGCGACTCGAGGAGAGTAGCTATCGATCGATAGCGACGCCTGTGCAGTGAGCGAGCCCGAGCCACGATCGACGACCGTAGAGCCCGGGGGAAACAATCGCATCATCGTCTCTTCGACGTAGCTCGCGGTTTGACGCGTGCGACGACGGCGTTGTCAGTGTTGTTATCGTCGTTCCCCTTCACGTGTTCTCTCCACCGGTGATTACGCGACTCGCAATCTCTCTCTCTCACCGTTCTCCTCGTGGTGACCAGGCGTGTTGGTGGACACGCCGTACGCGACAGCGGCATCCTCGGCACATCGAGACGCGTCGTCATGTGGCTGTCAGTGCGGAATACGCTAGGTGCGCCGAGAATGGATATTCGTGCGTATTTATAGAATCGCGCCGGGTTATTCACTCGTTATCGGGGCCTTCCATCGGCCGACGGCGAGGTTTTGGAGCGACGCTTGCGATCGCGATGGAAATAAACGAAAAGGAAGCACCGTTTTGACGCAGTTGATATAAATTGGCTGAATGCACATATTGTCTGTAGCCGAGTTTAATTAGCGTAGCGTCCTAACGCATTGCTGCGACCAGCAACTGCAACAGTTAACGTATGATTATGTCGAATCTACAGGAAACCATTGTGCAGGCAAGTTAGCAAAACAGCTTGCATATTTTTTATTAATGAAAACTTCACAGGCAAGCTCGCAATTGCGACGGGGGATAATTTTGCAAACAAAGTTTTAACGTAGTTGAAATAACTCGATATCAAATCGGAAAAAGTTGGAGAACGCGAGCTCCGCTTCTGATATTCCTCGCATGAATTAACGAAGAGATAGTGTCAAACACTACGGCAGATTTAAATATTTTAAATATCGTATGTCACGATAGAAAGTTTTCAGCGATTTTTGTATTCAGGAGAGAAGACTTTTTGCATGCTCAAGAAACTCAAAGGATACTGAATATCTTTCATTGTTCAGACCTTTTCCCGTATTTCTATGTCATTAATTTTTTATGCATCCGTAATGAAAGTTAGAATTATAGAAATAGAGTTTCGCTGATTGCAAAATTTATTCGATTTTAACTGAATGACACGCGTGACATATTGAACGACTGAGAAAGTTGATATCTAGCAGAAACGTGGATCGAAATGTCAATCTTAGAAAAACTTCTTGAACCTTGACTTCAGGAAATACACATGATTATCGATTGCATAGTCACATGTTGATGTCTGTGTCAGTTACAACGATATTTTATTATTAGTCAACGTCGATTTAAAGTCTTTTCAACAAAAATGAATTCAAGTTATAGTTAAGCTATATCGCAATCGATCTTTAAACAGAGAAAGAGACCAGGAGCGGTGGACTTACATATTTATTCTCAATTTGAATATTAATGATTTTTTCGTACGCTTGAGTATAATGAGCGAGAATCGGTGACCTAAATTTGAACGGCAGATCTTCCAGCAAACTCGGTTTCGATTTTTGCTTAAAAAAGACTCCAAGATTATTCGTTTTTTGCGGCTTTCTGAATATTAAATGTTTCGATAATTATATGATTATATAACCCGAACTTCCAATTCCTGAAAAATAAAGTCTACTTTATACTTATGCAATTAATAAACTTTCGTTCTTTTTACTTAATTACACTTTACGAAAAGCGAGGCAATTTTTATTCAATATTTCATTCAAGAGGAAAAATAATTTCAATATTCCAAGCTTTAGAGGTAATACTTTCACCAAATGATATTTTGATCTGGAATAAATTATTTTCTCGATGTAAAATGTGTTTTTACTTTTTTTCTACCGGCTTCACATCGTGTGCATCACACATCACGGGATGTACTAGTAGATTCTACCACGCCCACGTGATGACGGCATCGTAAAGCGTTTAGCACCTTGCCTGTACGTTCCGGCTGCAGATTAGATCAAGGACTCGCGGGTTAGATAATAATTTCCTCGTCTTGTCTCTATATTGATGGTCGCGAATACATGGTATTATATATATAATATAATAACTTTTTAAAATTAATATTTTTAAATTATAGTCTCCGGATTTCTCCTTCCAAGCTATAATTATATAACTAATAAAATTATTTCCACATGAGATATCTGAAAGAATAAAAGACGCATGCTTTTATGTATGTTTCTGCTTCAATGCTGCATATTAAATAATAATGTATCTAACTTCGAAGCGGGAGAAGTTTTACGTAATTTATTCTTATGGTATATACATCGAAATAAATAAAGTTTATCACATGTCATCGTGTTTGATGAATAATGCTTGCGAAATCTGCCAAGGATATACGTGGAAAGAATTATGTATTATACACAGTCACTTATTGATGAAGGAATGTTGAGAGAGTCCTCATTAT